GTGTATGTTTGGGCAGCCGTTTTGGAAGAGTGCAAAGGGGCAACATGGGTGATCCTGGGTGGGGTGGGAAAGCGACTTTCGCGTTGGGTTACTCGCCAAGGTGAAGATAACTCTGAACCGGCAGGCAAAACATCGCCAGGAGGGTCGTCTTGTCGCTCTTCTACTCCATCCTCCTCTTCCTGGTCACTGGTGATCTCCTCCCGTGATTTCCAACCAGTTTTTTGGCGATAACTATGGGGCACGCAAACTTTATAAGGGTCTTTACTGCTATCCTCCACTGTAGTCGGATAATGAGAGACCAGAGGATTTCCTGACAGATCGAACGAAGCAATATGTTGGGTTAGACCATCGGAATATTGAGGACTCCAGTTGTTGTTATCGCTTTCACGAAGTCTCGGAGAGTTAGAAGAGCGCAATCGGAAACCTCTGTTCTGGTCGATAGGGGAACGCGTCCCGCGAGAATCTGTGCCAACTGGACGCGCCCGGGCGTGTGCACGGCGAGCAGCAGAAGAAAATTTTCGAGGACCACTGGAATACATAGGAGTACTTAAGTGGGGTCGATACAGACCTGTTTCTTTGTCGACAGAGTTGTTCTGACAGGATGCAGGTAAGTAGCGATTTGAATTAGCGTAGCCGCCTCGAGGGACATTTCGATTAGGAAGTTCATCTTCAGATGATTGACTGCGTGAAGTACGTTTGTAGTCGGTGGTGTTTTGAATGGGATTCCGACATGCATCCATGTCGACGTCTTGGCTGCAAAAGTAGTTGTTATTGCTGTTACCAACTTCCGGTGCCACTTTGATTACTTTTCCATCGACCAAACCATGACCTACATCCAGAGAACCATTGACATCTCCTGTACCTCCCTTGTTGGCGGCACAGGAACCCACACGCTCCCCATTCACAGCACCTGCCACAGAGTCACTAGAACGCTGATCCTTTTGATCGACCGCTGGAGCAGCATCGTTATCTGAGATTTCGGAGCATTCGCCATCTTCTCCTCCAGCAACCCAATGACTGGCTAGCGTTAGGGGTACTGCTTTTGTCATGTCATGGTAATTGCTGTTTTCCCCTTGATCAACCATTACGATAACAGCGTGAGTGCAACTTGTGTCACATCTTGTTCCAGAGCCTAGACCCACCACGCTGGCAGTACTGCCCATTGCTCCACTACTACGCAAGTGAGCAGCACCTGCACTGATCGGTCGGCGGCCAGCCGAGTTGGGGGTCAAACCGCCAGGATGCGGTTGCAAGCGGCCGTTATCAATTGCTCG